AATGAAACATCCAGAACTGGTCGTTGTGGTTGAACCGTCAACGCCCTGAGCAGCAAACAGCGGCTTTGAGCTTGAAGACGACGTAGACGACATAGTGCCACCAAAGCCCTTGCCCTTCTTGCCTTTGCCCTTGGATTTTCCTTTACGGCCAGCCCCCTTCATCATCGAGAGAGGGAAGAATCCACAGCTGGTGCCTTTGGCACGTTGCAGCTGTCGGCTTTGCAAGAAGGTCCGAGCTTTGTTCTCGTAGGCCATGTAGGCTTCGTCCAGTTCCTTGGTCTGCTCAGGAGACAGGTCGGCTAATGGGTCCTCACAAGTCCAAAAGGCTCCAAAGCCATCAGTTTCCATCCAATAGCCACATCCATCAGGCACATAGCCATGCCATCCGTCCGCCTCCCAAGTCCAGTAGATCTCGTCATCCTCGTAGGTCTCGGCAGTGTTGTAGTTGGGACCAGGGTCATAGACGTCGGAGGGCAGTTGATTGCCAACCCAGTGGATCTCGGCGTTCTCGTCCATCTCATCCATGTTGGTGACGACCATGCCCCAGTTGCCATCTTCCTCAACCCAGAAAGAGCGCTTCTTTCCATGTTGTTGACCTCGTCCATGATCTGCAGCAAGTAGTTCTTCTTCTTGGTCACGAAGTGCAATCTCCAGGTCGGAGAACCTCAATGAGTTGCCCACTGAAGCTTGTACTGAAAGTCGATGACTGCTGCTGAGGTTGGCGCGACGAAGAAGTTTCCATCCAAGTACTTCATCAGGTAGAACTTGCATCTCCTCGGTTTGCAGCTCATCCCAAGGTAGATCTTCTCCACTTGAAGTGTCCTCATCGTCCCACCATTTCTTCTGCTCCTTTTTCCAGCGTCGCCAATCTTCAGCAGACCACCATTCTTCTTCTCCTTGATCAGCTTCAGGTTCTTCTTGAGGAACAGCGGCATAGTCTCCACCTTCGTCACCAGATTCTTGGATTCCAGCCATAGGGTCAGCTCCATATCCAGCGGTAGTGCGCGTAGGGCTCTGCCGTGAGGATCGTGTAGGGCTCTGCGGTGAAGTCCGTGAAGGGGTCTTCGGTGATGTAGGCATGGATGAAGGTTCACGGTGAGGTTCAGGCTCGCTCTTCCTTTCACTCTTCTCCTTGGCGCGTTGGATCTGTCGAGCTCTGATCATAGCCCGCTGAACCTTTCTGTAGGCCTCCATCACTTCGTTTGCCCATTGACTCATAGACATGCCAGCTGGTCGACGTAGTCGTATGAGCAAGTCTTCAAGACGTGCTCCAGCATCAGGGACTGCTGTCCTGCAAAGTCGTTCTTGGAGGAACTTCAGCAGGTACTTACATCCATTCTTCTTGCTCAGCTTGTGGTGGTCCAGGTCGGGTGTCACGCTCCAGGCTTTTGGGGTCAGCTTGGATGCAAGCTCAGGTCCAAGCAACTTCCTCTTGTGCTGAGGTGTCCGCTCCCATTGCAGGCGCACATGCCTTGCATAGTCATGCCAGAGGGTCAGCTCGCCATTCCAAGTTGCTACATCTTTGAAGTCACGGCTCAAAGACATTCTCCTGGTTGAAGGGCTCCACAAGGAAGTAGGAGAGCGAGCGGCCTGCTCAGGACCGTCGCTTGGCAAAGCACCTGCACACGGCCTGCTCAGGACCGGTGCACCAGGGAGCGTCCACGGCCTGCACAGGACCGGGCCAGCTCCAGCAAGAAGACCTCCGCAAGGGTGTTGAGCTCGAAGAGGATGAAGCCAGGGCGCACAGCAGCCTCCCTTGTCGTAGGTCACCACAAGGAGGAAGAACAGGCGAAGCATAGACCAGCAGCAAGTTGCCAAAGATCTCTGCAGTCACCACCAAGGACCGCAGGAAGTAGACTCGGAACCGGGATTGCCCGGCTCCGCTACCAATGTAAGGTAGCAAGTGGCCTCGCTCTGTGAACTTGTTACACTTCTCGATTTCCAAGTCACTCAAGCAATCGCGCAGCAGGTTTTCCCACCTATGGCGTCGAAGTCAGTAGGGCCGTCTACGGCCGGACGTGGGCACGAGTGCCACTATTGGCCAAAGGGTACCCTGTTGCGGTCGGACAGGCAACAAGGGTTTCTGTGCATGCTATGTGTTGGACCTGACAAGTTGGATACATGTTTCATGACATGATGATAGATCCGTGTTTCTGACATGCATGAAGGCTGATGGTGACATGTTTGGCTTTTGAGGGGAACTTGACATCACTGTAGCTGAAGTTCTGACACCAGTTAAGCCTTGGGCGTTGAGCGTTGAGCCTTGAGCCGTTCAATATAGATGTTTTCTTTTTTGTGGGGCGAAAAAATCAAAATGATACTTGAGAGAATGTAGTGACATGACATGGTTGTGTTGCTTGGTGCAAGCGCAGCGCTCATCTCATTGTTTTGACACGTGGGGCGAGGTCAGCTGCACCTCCCGCTTTTGTTTCTTCAGCTGCCTCGCAGCTAGCACCTCCATCAGAAATCGTTCCAAAGAAACTGCAGCAGTTGAGGACACATCAAATTGCACTTCAAGGAAAGGGTGAGTTGTACCACGTGATGGCACATCAATAATGTTTGCCTCTGTTGGCACTCTGGCAAACCATATGCAACTGTTAATGTCAACCTCCGTACGCAAGTGAAGCTTCATGACGGTACCAGCAACAGTACCCAAACCAGTTCCTCTGATTGGAGCGTAGCGCACACTGTCATTGTCGCCATATTGCACTGAGTACGAAGATTTCAAATACCCAGACCAAACATCCATAGCCAAGCAAGCCGCCAGCATCTCCAACTCATAAATAATTTAAATAATTGTTTCTTTATCACTCGCACCAAAAACCTCATTCATGCTCTTGTCAAGCTGCACTGAAAACCATGCAACGCAATCACCGTTGGCACTGACAAGCACGGCTCCCAGTCCTCCCTCCTTGGCCTCCTTGTCAAATGCAGCATCAGTAAAAACAAGCCATTCTATAACGGCCTGAGAGTTGACAGTCTTTGGGCCCGCCGTCTGAAGTCGCAGTATCATCATGTCTTGAATCCCAGATTCTTGCCACACGCAAGAATTGTAGATGCTATGTGCCGCGCCAAATGGCAGCGTCCTCGAACGGTAGGTTTCCACTGCACCTTTCTCACAGTTAAATATGCAGAAGTACCCATACTTCAAGTGATCATCTCGGATTGGAATCTGCCTGTATGCACTTTTCAAATCGTATGTCTTTGCCTGGAGGGAGGTGTCTTTGCCACACGCATGCATCTGCTCAAAGTAGGCTTTGGCTGCAGCTACAAAAGTGTCGGTGACATGCAAGTCCAGCTTGGTGTTCACCGTGCAACTGTCATTCACTCCAGAAACCCAGTAGTCATCAATCATCCTGATCTTTTCACCCTGCAATAAGGGAAACCTCCGTGAAATAGTTGCACCTTGTTCCAAACCTCTCGCCAATTCCTCTTGTGTTTCCTTCAGCACCGCTTCATCCATTGCAGCAGAACCAGAAAACTTTGTCAATCCAAGTACCAACAAATTGCGCTTGGCTGCGCAATCTTCCAACTGCTGCAACGTTGAAACGCAAGGCTCGAACGCAGATTGAAAAACTGCAGAAGCTTCTATCTCACCTGCCAACGTGGACCTTTTCTCTAAAAGCTCCAGCACTTCCAAATCCTCATATCCAAGGCTCTGCAAAATTTCACCTGTCAACCGCAAACGTTTCTTCGATGTCGAAGGGTGTCTCTGGCTAGCAGCAGCTTACTCTTCAGTTTCCAGTTCTGCCGCCCTTTGCAACCATCGTTTGCACCAATCCAGTCTGTACTGTGCCAATTCATCCAGGGTGTGCTCCACGTGAAAATCAATGGCAGATTGAGTGTCACTGGGCACAAGTTTGCAGAAATGTGCTCGGTGTCCCATCAAAGCAGCCTTTGAAATAAAAGCATCATACGTCCAGGGTAATCCAAAAGCTACCTCAAAACAAGCATCACCGACCTTGACACCCCCCGCTGTTGAAAAAGGTGATGTTGTTGCAGACCTTCGCAAAAAAAGTGATTGCGCAGGCACTGTCGCAGTGTTTCCAATACTTGTGAAAACTTCTAATGGTTTGGACAGCTTTGCTTGCAGTGCGCAAGAGACATCTGCAGCTTGTAAAACAAAGAAAATACCAGCTGATGATGAATCCGGCATCAGATGTGGGAGCTTTGACCTGCGTGATTGATTCAATGCCGTGATTCGTGCCGTCTGCATCTCGAACATTTTGTTGCCCTTGATGTCGAAGAGGGTGTTTGGCAGCAACTCCAGGTGCTGCCGTTGTAACGTTCTGTGCACACATTGCACAACGGCTATGCAGAACCGTCGTGGATGTTCAGCTTCTAAACTCGTTGCATAAAATTCGTTCCCTGCAGCATCCATTGTTTTACCCCAAGGTTGGTGCGAATGCAGTCCATCGCACTCTATATTCAGGGCGGAAATTGAAGAAAAAATTGCAACCAGCCGTGTCCATTTGGGCCTTGTTCCACCCATCATACACATCTGCGAGCCTGAGTGAAAAAATCCACAGCCAGTTGTAATAATAAAAACGGTTCCGTCAAACAGAAAAGGCTTGATGACGGGTTGTCCATAGTCACCAAGATTCGTCTTGAATCGCAGTGTTGAAACAGCTTGCATGGCTCAACATACATGTTGTTTGCCAAGTCAATCCTTTGCCTCTCATCGGAGGTCAAATTGGGCAAGCCCATTTGGTAGCTGTCCGACCGTAGCGGTCTAGGTCCTCCATTCCGGATTTGTCGCGCTCGTGAGCACGTGCCGCAAACTGGGGCAATGTGAGCCCATACCACAAGATCTGATTCCAGCCAGTGATACAAAAGGTCTCGGTCCTTGGGATCCAAGATGTTGAAGACAAAGATAGTTGCCTTTGCTCCCTTCTTTCGAATTTTGTCCAATGCAAGTGAACCGTCCAAGCCAAACTGCTTGGCGACTGAACAGAGTGTTGCTGTTCCACTGAAGACCTCAATCATGTAGCATTGGTTGGCTACATACCCTGTCCAGTCTCTTGTTGTTTGTCAAGAGCTTTTTTCGGGTGGCTTTGCAATCCATGTGGCTGCAAACAACCAGGGTCTGCGCACAGGTGCCACCCCTTGCTGCAACGTTCTCCATCTCGTGCCAAATCGCAGCGATTCGATGTGTTGTATCCAAAGCACAGCGGGTCACCATTTGCCGTGCGATGCCACTTGTTTCGCTCCTCAACAGGCATGGGGGGCGTTTTGCCCTTTTTTCCTTTTCCTTTTCCCTTTTTCTCAAAAGTTCCAGCGCTTGCAGGCTTGGGCGCTGATGAGTAAGGCCCAGTCCTCTGTGTTGACACCTGTGAGCTCTGCGCCCTGGCAAGTGGGGCCAGGTACAAGGCAATCGTAGGATCGACCCTCAGCTCCAGCAGAGTGCATGGTCCCCAACGGAAAGGATTGGTCTGCAGCTTGGCGTACTGATCGCATGCTAGACCCCAATCGAGTGAATGCTGCCTTGTCACAAGGCATTGATGTAAAGAAGGCCTGTTGTAGCCTGGTGGAGCCTCGCGCTGCATTGACTGCATAAGGAAGCTGACCCAAGTGTTATGCTGCTCATAGGTCATGAGGCGTGCAAACTTGAAGGCAATTCCACGCCTTGCCATCGCCTGCAAAAACTGTATCTCACTAGCTGTCGGTGCAACAAGTTTGTCATCCTTGTCCTTCACTACCATGATCCACCCTCAAATACAAGCTCCTTGGTCTTAGAGCTGCCTTGTACTTCTTGGCTCCTCGAAGTGCAAGCTGATGGTTCAAGGTACTTCAAGGTGTTGGTCTCATGGATCTGACAGGCCTTCTCCGACAGCATGTGAGAAGGCTCGTTTTCATCGGCAATTGTGAGTCCTCCCAATTCAGCCCGTGTTGAGGCCATTCTGGTCTCGCGCTCAGCAGCACCAATGCGTTTCGGTGCACCGTCATCCTTGCTATCAATAACCTGTCGCAGGCTTGCAACCAACAAAGTTTGGGCCTCAAAGGCCAATCTCCTAACATGTGCGTTCTCAGCCAGTGAAGGATCTCGTCCCAGTGCATTCCTCAAGAACCCATCTACGTCTTGAGGATTTGCACCTGCATCTTTGATGGCCTGAATGGCATCTGGGCTCAGACCAATCTCTCGTGCCCTCGCTGTGAACTGCGCTTCAGATTCTAACAGCAGACTCATTGCAAGCACAGCGAAACTGAAAGGAATGCAAAGCTCAATGAACAAGTCCCACTGAAAAAGTGTGAAATTGGTGTCACAACTCATGACATGTCGCTCTCTGTCAAATCTTCTGGATTGCTCTCTTTTGAAATGTTCCTTTGAGCCATCATCTGCAGCATTCTGCAAGATCTTCCCTCTGGATCAAATTCCGACTTTCCGGCAAGCTTGACATGGTTTTTTTGGTTCGGATGGCCGTTTATGCTCTGAAGCACGGTATTGTGAACTTGAAACTTACTCGTGGACCAGCGGGGATTCGAACCACCACCGGCAATCTGTCTGCGACGTCAAGAACGCCGCGATACCAACTGAGCCACGAGGACGACTTCGGCAAGCTTGACATGATGGCCTTGAAACTCAATCCCCAATGTTCAACCCATCTTAACGCAGCTTTCTGCAAAACAAATTGCACGCAATGGCCAACGAAAATTCTGAACTTGGCATGTCACACTCTCGCAACATGGACATGGGAACAACTGACCTGTGAACCTCATGAATGCCTCTGCAACGTACATGCAAACTCCTAAACATGAAATGAAATTCCGGCTTTCCGGTAAGCTTGAAACATGAAGCACGACTTCAACAGTTCAACTTCTCTTTATGCAGCTCTCTGCAACAATGAATACAATGGCCCTCGTACGTGTTATGTCCGTGAAACATGGGGCCCCTGATTCTGTCAGATTGGACATGCCCTGCTGCCATGTTTGATGGAAGAAAGCCAAACACGAGGCGCCAGCATGACGCACCAGCAGACCAATCATGCTGGTCATTGTGCATTTGGCAGTACGGAGCTTACCACGAGATGCCAGTGCATAAAAAACTTGCGGCTAGCCTCCCGTGCAATTGTTTTCAACTTGAATGCAGGTTGTAAGGAACAATGAAATGCTTGAGAATTTGTGCAGATCAGAGAATCTTGACAGTTGCATGTGCGTCAACACTCATCAGATGTCGAATCATGATGGACAACTTACGTGTGTGTGTGTGAACCATCTGTAAAGATGTAAAACTTCTAACTTAGCAGGGGGATGGAGTGTGCTTCAGATGTCTCCATCCAACGAAGACGCATCTGTTGCACAGTGATATGGATTGGGGACGCTCAATCCACGTACCTGCTCAATCTTTTTCATTTTCGTCCGTGGCAACCGGCTAAGCCAAGAACCGGCAAGTCGATTCGATTTTCTGCACTGTTGTTGCAATCTGGAACAGTATACGGTCAATAATGAAGGTTGAGCTGCATCAGAACCAATAGATCCTTCGAGCAAGGACGTAGAAAGATTTCCTTCGCACAGTTTCTCATTTCTAATCATCCAAATCGTTCCTGTCAGGTTTAACTGAAGTGTTTTTGCACGTGCGATGCATTCCACATCAGTAATTCGATAAGATATTTCTGAGCAAGTGTGTCTCTCCTGCTGCATACGTCAAGTTGGCAGGAACCCTTCGGGGAAAGCCTTTCTAGGCTAACAATGGACAGTAAAACGATGTCTGAATTTACACTTTTGAATTAGTAATTCGTCTAAGTAAAGTGAACTGCTGGCCCTTTTCCTGGTCTCACTTGTCGATGTCGATTTGTGTTGAACAACTGGCCCGCCGTGTGGCTCCAATTCTTTCAGTGGATTTCTCATTGCAATGCGTGAAGCCACGTTAACAACCTTCTTTTTCAGTGGAGCTCAAGAGACTGCTCGCAGCCATTTACATATGAACAGGTGACAGGACATGCTTTACAGGTGTGGTCACTTCCTTTTGGTTGTTTGGTGAGGTTCAATTGTGCATGTAATTCATTTGAACACTGACAGCCGTCGATGGGGTTGACTTGAATACCGAGGGCCTTTGAGCCTTATCACGAATCTTGCATGCGTTGTGGATGCATCATGTCATCAACTAGTTCCCCATGGGTCCCTATTTCAGGTGTTCTTGCGTTCTCCTCTCTCCAGGTGGGTTTGGCCCGTTGCGTGCTGAGGTTGATGTAGGTTTTCGCCGTGTCAGGTTGGTTCAGGCGCTTCTGTCTTCCCCCTCCTCCGCTGGTCTTGTTCCGGTTTCCGTCGGCCTCCGCTTTTCTTGTCCCTTGCCTTTCCAGGGTTGTCCGTTGCGGGCTAGGTTTCATGTGTTGGTGTTTTCTCTTTCCCTCTTCTTTTGCGTTCCCCTCTTTGCGTCCTGGTTAAGTAACTTTCATCTCATTGTCATCTTCACCTCATCTTCATTTCCCTTCCTCTTCATTTTCATCTCATTGTCGGGACCTTAATTTCCCACCCTCCTGCGGGAGGCTGTGTGTGTGTGTGAACCATCTGTAAAGATGTAAAACTTCTAACTTAGCAGGGGGATGGAGTGTGCTTCAGATGTCTCCATCCAACGAAGACGCATCTGTTGCACAGTGATATGGATTGGGGACGCTCAATCCACGTACCTGCTCAATCTTTTTCATTTTCGTCCGTGGCAACCGGCTAAGCCAAGAACCGGCAAGTCGATTCGATTTTCTGCACTGTTGTCGCAATCTGGAACAGTATACGGTCAATAATGAAGGTTTGAGCTGCATCAGAACCAATAGATCCTTCAAGCAAGGACGTAGAAAGATTTCCTTCGCACAGTTTCTCATTTCTAATCATCCAAATCGTTCCTGTCAGGTTTAACTGAAGTGTTTTTGCACGTGCGATGCATTCCACATCAGTAATTCGATAAGATATTTCTGAGCAAGTGTGTGTGTGTGATCAGAGTCGTACCCCGGTGGAGGAAACAAACAGCGTCAAGCACGTCAAATCATGCGGATGTTGTTTTCATTCTTGTCAAGCATTGAATCACACTTGTTGCACGTGGCATCAAAGGTTCAAGCAAGATGAACCTCACAGTGCAATTTTTCCAAATGGGTTTTAACCTAGGACTCGGTAATTTAGACTGCCGAATTACCACGCTGGTGTGACAATTTTCATTGGCATGATTTCTGAAAGATTCAAAGCTGTCAAAAGATACAACGGATGTCTTTACTTCACTTGTCACCCGACAAGTTGTCAGCAACACTTTGAGCAGTTTCTTTGAACAAGCTGCTTGGTGCTCCCTCGTGCAATCATGGCTCTTATAGACTCAGAAGCAGCCTTCGACGCAAGATGTGACAAGCTTGCACGGGACTGAAAGAGTTGATGATAAAGTCTAGTTTCCTAGATCAAAACCCAAGTTCGGAAATCAGAACCTCGAAAACCTAAAACAAAGTTTCAACCTCGACTCCTAAGCGCAAACGTCAGCTTCAATCTTTTGCTCGGACGCCACACAGAGGAGTCAGGACCCTCACTTAGGACACGCCCACGAGAGAGGAGAAACAACAAGGTCAACGACCGACAGCAACAAAAAGCGCTGGCGCGGGCATTTGCAGCGGAAAGCAGCAGTGCGACAGCGCAGCCACAAACACAATACAAACGGGGTGCAGCCGACAACGAAATTCAGCAACCAACTGCAGTTTAGCATGGACACACATGAAACTGTGAATCAGCAGCTCGCGTCTTTTGCCACAAAGAAAAACATGTATCGAGGCACTCATCTCTCCGAGAACGAAGTCAAGTCTAATCGAGCACAATCACTTGGCGCGGCGGAGCTTCGAACACCAGAGCTGCACGTAGGTTGCGGTATGCAAATTGGATGATGAAGTATTCGCGACCGTGCGACCCTGGCGGGCAAAGCCAATGCCCCAAAGCAGCGGTAGTCTCCGACAGGAACGCCAACACCGCCACGAGCTCCGGAGCGTGCTCATTGTAAGCTTTGAAACGCTGCACGAGTTCCGTTGGAGACGTGTCGCCTGGAGTCTGTAGTGAGTCCTTGTTTCTGCAGAACTGTTGCTTGACTGGGCGCCGGCGCCGGCCAGATAGTCTTTAGTAAGGCCCTGTTTCGGCAAAAGCTGGTGCTATTTTGGCCCGCCGGGGCGGCAGATAGTGTGTAGTGAGGTCCTGTTTTGGCAAAAACTGGTACTATTTTGGCCCGCCGGGGCGCCAAACAGTCTTTAGTAAAGCCCCGTTTCGGCAAAAACTGGTGCTATATTTTGGCCCGCCGGGGCGCCAAATTTGGCGCGACTGGTGCTATTTGGGCCCGCCGGGGCGGCAGATAGTCTGTAGTGAGGTCCTGTTTTGGCAAAAACTGGTACTATTTTTGCCCGCCGGGGCGCCAAACAGTCTTTAGTAAGGCCCCGCTTCGGCAAAACCTGGTGCTATATTTTGGCCCGCCGGGGCGCCAAACAGTCTTTAGGGACGAGTTTTTGGCGCGACTCGAGCTTTGACTCCACCCCGGCGGCGGCGACGGCCCGCCCGTGTAACCCAATGGCCTATATGTGGCACGTGGACCTTAACAGGCGGTAAACCAACACCAGGCGCGGTGCCTAGAAATGTAACCCTCTTGGGCCACGACGGCCCGCCCATGTAGCCCAACGCAAGCCAAGACAAGCCCAATATGCACCCAACATGCCCACCTGGACCAGGCGCGGTGCCTAGAAATGCAACCCTCTTGGGCCACGACGGCCCGCCCATGTGGCCCAACGTAAGCCAAGACAAGCCCAATACGTATTAAACATGCCCACCTGGACCAGGCGCGGTGCCTAGAAATGCAACCCTCTTGGGCCACGACGGCCCGCCCATGTCGCCCAACGTAAGCCAAGACACGCCCAATATGCACCCTGGACCAGGCGCGGTGCCTAGAAATGCAACCCTCTTGGGCCACGACGGCCCGCCCATGTAGCCCAAGGCGCGGTGCCTAGAAATGTAACCCTCTTGGCCCACGACGGCCCGCCCATGTGGCCCAACGTAAGCCAAGACAAGCCCAATATGCACCCAACATGCCCACCTGGATTGGGCGCGGTGCCTAGAAATGTAACCCTCTTGGCCCACGACTACTGCTACTACTGCTGCTGCTACTACTACTACTACTACTGACTACTACTGACTAC